AGACCTAATAGAGTTGCAAATCAACACTGACCCGCTCACTATTCTCCTCCAGAGGTGGTCCTCCAAATATTTAGCACAAAGTTGCACTATGTATACGTTCGCACTTACTTGGAGCCCATACGTCATCATTATTGTTTCAAGCTGTTTGTGCTTGGTAATGCCACATTGAGTTCGTGTAACTACAGTTTTCGAGGTTGCTATGTTGGCATTTTCATATTCCTACCCTTCAGAGTTTGTGTAGAACAGCCGTCTAAGAAATATTGAATAAGAATTTTATTAAATAGGCCTAGCTAAAACACACGATTGCACAGCATTGGAAAAGAAAATATTAGTAAAGCATCTGAAATCCGAAATCCTTGGAGCTCAGCTTCGTTCACGGTGATTGGTGTTCGCGTTCACACAGTTGACTAACCTCCTCCTTAGCTTCACGACTCTAAAAAATACAGCCAAATAAAAACAAAGCTACTCGGAATACTGCATAACACGGTAGAGGAAAAAAAAGCAATGAGAGGCCGTGAAACGGGCTTATGGGTGAGCACACCGGACAAAATGTTTGGGTAAGACAACGTCTAATGTCCCCATGTTGGTTTGCTGAGTAAACGCACTGCTTTTCTTTTGAGTTCTTTAGTTTTCAAATGAGCTTAGAAATTCAACGGTCTCTAACAAAGAAAAACTCAGCGATTTTCCGACGGCAAAAACTTTTTGCTCAACGGTTAAGCTTAAGACGAAGGCCGGGGTACACTAGGGCTGCTTTTCCCATGTCGAATGTGCAATTAAGGATTCTTCGTTTAACTGTCACGTATTTGAAAGTGCATAGGTAATCAAATGGAGGGCAACCTACGAAATTAACACTGTTGGGATCCCAGCCATATACATGCTGTGCGACAGCCTCGTCAAAAAAGATGCCTGTGTCATCCGATAGCCATGGGCGACTTATTAGTTTGTATCGATGCGATGGTGGCAAACCTGAAAAAATACAGAGTCTCGCTTCTTGAAGACACGGTACTATACAGTTGAACCTATTGAAAAGGTGTTTTCTACACATTCGCAGCCATTTTAATATTCGTGCATTCACTAGGTCTATCATTGCTCCCAGAGTAAAGGAAAATTCTATATTAATTTGATTTCTGGCATTTCGAACGACTAGCACTCATTCAAAGGAGTTCGAACAATACCAATGGCGTATGAAGTTTAGGAATGATATTATAAACCTGGCTTGCAGGCAATGTAAATCCTAGGGTTTCAAAGCACGTGAAGAACTAAGCGATGGCGGCAAATCTTTACGATGGTGATGTTTTTTAGTGTCATAAGAAGTCTTAAAAAACAATAACTGACAACTTAGTTTTTCAGTCATATATCGTTCAGCCATTTCGGCGAATTCTCCAACAGATTCTGGAATCGGTAACAATTCCGAGCTTATTCGATTTAGTTTCTCAGACGATTCCGGCCAAAGCATTGCTGCCAGCTCAACAACAGTGCTCCAGATCAACAAGCTGAAAAGCATATTTTACTGAACGATGACACCACTAAACTCTGCACTTTTCCCATCCCAAAAAGTTTTTGAGAATTTAAGAAAAAATTTTTCCACCAAACTTTTTCCCGTTTAGTCCAAAAAATCATATGTCTACCAAGAAATTGGCTAAAGACAAATATTTGATCAACTCTCTGCAGGTTAAGCAGCTGAACTCGCCTTCGTTTCTGCACAATAGGACTTTCGTTCCTCTTCACGGGATAGGGGGAGGGAGGAGGAATATATTCATCTATTATCGTACGTATGCTTCCTTTCCTTTGAACCAAATACCAAACTTCCGTTGAGAAGTAGAAGCACTGAAATTTGACAGCGTAATAGTGAAAGAATTCTTCAGCTACAAAAATAAGTGTGCAGTGTGGAAGCATAACGAAGAAGTATTCTTAGGTGTTGAAATGCGAACTAGAGCATGATGTTCGAACACAATCGAGACAATTCAGTATGAAAGGTGTTTGAAATTTACAATCGGACCCTTAGATGAGACTGATTCAATGGCTCTTAGAGGTCCGGAGCCTACCTATAATTGCCTTCTATCCAAAAGCTAGAAAAGCTGAAGACCTCAAGTGTGGAAATATTTGTTTCTCGCAAGTGAGCGGAATTCATAGGCAACAGTAATACGTGACTGATGCTAGTACAGACGTTCCTGGTCTTGTTCGAGTTATTTGATTATTGACCGGATTATAAATGCCATATCTCATTTAAATTGGCTGTCATCATAAAGCCTTCACTTACATCACCTATCGTCTCGTTGATCGTCAGGTGACTCTTGCGAGAGCCACTAAACCTATCATTCCTCTCCGATGTATGAACGAGCAGAGAAGTGTATTCTACTCGCTTCAGAGACCCTTTGAATACCAGATTTCATTGTTTTCGTAAAGAATTTTGACCACTGGGTCGGTTTTGTGGTCCTCCTGCCCTACGTTTGACATCCCGAGAAATTCAGTAATTAATGGCGTTGGTCCAACTGTTGTCGTTCATACGCACTACGTATCTGCCCCGCCTTATCTTCGACAGTAGAACGGCATCTTTCATTTTTGACCGTCCATTTAGCTCTGAGCTCCTGATGGCTTTCCTCATTTGCGTAATACGGGATACTCCTAACATTGTGCTTTCCACTGCATTTTATTCAACACTAAGTGATACTCTGTCCTGCTAAAAATGCGACTAGGTTTCTCGCGCATACTTTGAAGAAGAAAAAATCGCACAGACGAGGTGGTGAACACGGAGAAGGGTTTTCTTTGTTCTTTTCATTAAATCCTCGATATTCTTCACACCGCTCGCTTCCTTCTCAGCTATGGAGCTAAGTCGTTCTTCATGTTGATTTCTCGACCTGGTTAGATGAAACTGGACCATACTGAGATATTCTCCCCGTTGAGCATAAGTAGGCCACAAAAAACCAATCCAATCCTATAGTTTTATGGACTGAAAAGCATAAACGATAAAAATCTATACCTTTTCTTTCATCCACTCAGGAGAATTCACATCGTCTCCTCTACTTTCTGCGAGTTCCTGCCACAAAATTACCTCTTCAGGCATCAGTGACAGTTCAAAACTTTTCTCTTTAACTGATTCGTCACCAGCTAAAATTTCTCCAAAATTTTCGCCAAAATGGAAGTTCCTTAGATCATTCCGTTTTCAAACTCATTCTTTTCTGGGATACCAGAAATGGTCCCACGTTTATGCTCGAATAATGCTTTGTAGCGAACAATATTTTAGGAGACTGATAATATGTACGAGTCGACATATGGCGGCTATAGTAGAGATGTCAGGAATTTTAATCCAAATTCCTTAAGTCACGATTTTGAAAACAGTTAAGAGATCTATTTCATTATTACTGAGCTCTTTAACAAATGAGCCGGTTTCAGATTATAATCTACTGACCATTTTCCATTGTCACCGTCGTGGTGTACGTGAAGGAGAGACTCTCAAAAATGGAGCGTGGCTGAAATCTATGAACGCTCTAACACCATACAATGTTGGCGAAGATCTCAGTCATTTAGAAACGACTGGCGTCAAAAATATGTTGAGTATCGATTTAAGAAGCAAACTAAACACTTTTTACACTATTCGAATAACTTACATGACTATGACGTGATCTTCCGAAACGCACCTTTTCAATAGAAAGCAAGTCCTCGTAGGATTCGTCGAGCACTGCATGAGATTCTGATGAATCAGCAGTTCTGTTGTTATTCTTCGATGTCGTACGTGGCGGCCTTAGTTTGGCTAGAATACGGCGAATGAGAAATTGTATCATTGTAGAATAACTTCTTCGCTAACAAAAATAACGAAAAAAACTTCTTATGAGTGCAGTCCTATGATTACGAATATTTCACTACCTCATTCGCTGGGATAACAATCTAACCATTGCAAAAGTATGCCATTACTTACTTAAATACATAAATGGCCGGTCTCCACTAGTTGTGCGGGCACCAGCATATTTTCTACTCTGTTGGTTAGATGCTGATTTAGCCATTCTGGTTTCCAACAGTGCCAAATTCGCCCTAGCAAAAACGTTTCTCAGGTTGTCACCACCTTAGGCAGTGGCTGCCTTTGTGAATAGAAGAAGGATTTGCCACCATGCGTCTAGTTTGATGCCACGCCGGTGGTGAATTTGGGTATTGATTTATCCTTAGCTGGACTTCCATATGAAAACGCTAGACTTCTTCTTAGCCAGGGAAACCATGCTAGCCAAGTGAATTTTCGCTATATATCGACGCCGTTCGACGCCCAGGAACATCTCCTAGCCAAGAACAGACGACGAGCAGGTTGTAGGGTAGATCTATGGAATGCCCTTAATGTCCAAAACTGCGCTATGCTTTGATTTGTGCAAGAAGAGTATGCCACAATAACCTCAAACCATCATGTATTAATAGGCTTCAAAAAGTTGGATAAATTGATTCATGGAAATTCAATCGTTACCAGAAAGAAGACAGTAATATTCTTTCAATTCTAACTTATTATTTACTGCCTACTCTTTTAAACGGCAGGATATATATTGCGAAATATAACTTTAATGATGCTGAGATATTTGCAAAACTCCGGACTGCAGGTATCTGCGGTGGGGAACGAACGCGCTATTGTCCTTTCCAGGGATTAACGCGCTCACCACCAAACCATGCGGGTCCTTCGATTCGCCTGTCTCTCAGCTAGTTCTATTTTGTGATTATAACTGAAGCCTCGGCTTAACTGGGTTCACTGCCGATTTGGGCTTCTCAGATCAATACCGCTGACGGGTGATTGCTGATGGTAAAAGAAATAATAGTCAATAGAACTAGCTAACAGACAGGCGAAACGAAGGACCCGCGTGGTAGGGTGGTGAACATGTTACTCCCCGGAAAGGAGAATAGCGCTTTCGTTCGCCACTGCAAACACCTGCGGTCCGGAGTTTTGCAATTATCTCAGCATCACCAGAATCTTTTTCCATATCAGTTACGGTAGAATTAATAAGTAACCGAACAAGCAAGAATGTTGTCTCTTAAGCATAAATTAATAATGGAATGTGTAAAAGACGATTTTTTTATCCGCATTAGGTTACTTCACTAGATATCAGTTGTGCACATAGGCAAGCAGCGCAGTGGTAGTGGTGCCGTTCTTCACAACTACGGTACTGGTTCAACCCATCACAGGCTCTCCTCTCTCATATCACCAATGCCGGCAAATCTAGACCAGCTCTGCCAAGATTCTAGAAAAAATGTAATCGACCATCGCTTAGCGATATTAGTAACGAAGACAAAAACTTTAAGCAGCAATCGAACCAGCACGCAAAAGTTCGCAGACGTTCGACGATGATGAATTCGACGAAACGACATCGAACACAGCTGCCTAGAAGTCCTTAAAATACTGTATTTTTGGATTTGTGATTTAAACCCATTCGTGGCACAATGCATATTTTTTTTTGAAACATTGGAAATTATTCTTTCAAAAGATTTAAGCACATATCGTTAGGTGGCGATGCAAAGTAACCAGATGATTTTGCCTTCCTTGTTCGTTAGAGGTGTAGCTAAATCCGTGGTACGTTGAAGAAGGCCGCATCCAAAGTACAGCTCTTTTCTGTCCGTGGTATTTAGAATCACCTCATCCTTTTTAACCTTTTTTGCATTGAGAAATAAGCATTTGCAGAAGGACAGCAATACTGGGAATGTTCTAACTCCATCCTCTACAAGCACCGCTTAATTGGTATGGTTCTCGCATGCTTTTAGAATTTGGTGTGTTTTATTGAAAACTATTCTTCCCACCCAAGGATTTCTTCAACACGTCATTTGTCTCTCACACTTTCCTTCTTTTATCTTCATCTTCTGGTATTAACACTAATCATTCTTCGCTACCGAATAAGCCGGATGAAAGCACGCTTTACAGAGAAAGACACGTTGAACACCGAACAAAAGCAAAGGATATAAAGATAAAGCACTAGCATTATTCTAAGACGCACCTATTTCTCTATCGATTTCGTCTAATATATTGTCCCATCGCATGAGCTTGATCTTTCCTTCTGCGTTGGGTCGAGGTTGAAAAGTCTCATCATCAGTCTTTATAACCACAGAATCATAGCTCTCTTCGTACTTTACGTCATTTTCATTCTAAAAAAAAAAGATACTATTTCCATACGACCGTGTCAATGTAGTTTCAACTCACAAACATCATATCCGGACCCTCTTCGTTTATTGGACTAAGAAGATTTCTAAAAGAAGGTGGCGCTCTTGTCACCGTCCGCCTAGAAATAACGATTATTGCAAAGTTATTATAGTCATCACAACATTTACATTATATACAAATACTACAGTGCTGCTCACCTTTTGTTCGTATGTGGCGACTTTGTAGCTGACGGTTTCGTGTCGTCTTGTGAGGAAGCGCCAAGTTGCAATGAATGAGGGCGTTGCCGCGTTATTTCCATTGACTGCCTTTCCGAAAACGGTTGTTCATCGCAGACTTCAGTTCCACTACTGAAGCTCTGAACACAGAACTTTCAGTGACGGTTTGAATCACTGGTAGATTAGTGCAACTTTAATGCAGCGTGGTAATTGAAAATTTAAATTCGTTTAAAACACTGATATTCAGAAAATTTAAGGAGGTTTCGATCCTAGATGGTATCCGTTTGTGTGACGGCCTATTACACAGCGCAGAATTGTATAATGTCCCCGAATGATAAAGAGAGCGATTACATAAGTTTGGCCACGATGTACCTGATCTCTTATAGGACATACCGGACGAATATGTTAGCGAAACTGGTGGACCACCACAATGCCAGCGTTTAAAAGAAGACCTAGACGGTAAGGGTTAATTGAAAGAGAAGCTCCACTATTCAGCGCAAAAACCCGTTAAATAATTCTGGATAAATTCTAAGAATCGAAAAGTGAGCTAAAGGGAGAAAGACTTCATCATTGGGCAAAATTTACACAATATCTTTGAGCGATATTTTTACGTAAGAACGACTCATTTTCCATTCATGCGAGCTCTGTGCGGTTGGGTTCCACGTGCAACACTCAGTAGAAGAGTCATAGAGAGCGCTAAGTGTTTGAAGAAGCTCTTTCATACCCAACGCAGTTAAAAATTAGGTGACATTGGTTCTTTATTCAGCTTACGGGCGTGTTTCATTGAATAGGGTGCGCTCAAATAGAACTATCCGAACTTTAAAGAAGGCGAAATCAGCAGAAACGTTAGCTTTTGTCAATAAAGAGTGTGACAGCCTCGTGTGTGCTTGCGAAGAAAATAGCTGACCAATTTAAAAAGATTTCGAAACCGACTTTCCTTGAACCTCGGTATCAATAATCAATATGTATCCTTTCTTTAATGAGCTGAAACGAGCTTGATAAAGATATTTATTCATTTTCGGATAACGTTTCTACGTCTTCGTCTTCCTCAGAGCCGATGATCCCAGTCGATGGTCCATGCTTGTTGTTCGTCTCGACTTTGCAACTTCGCCTTCGTGTCGAGTCAGGTCTTCCTCAGTGAGCCATCTTCTCGAATAAGGCATCCTCACTCAGTGATGCCCTTTTATACACGATGCTGATGGTGGATATAATGATAATGTCCGGTGGTAACAACTTGTATTTCTTCCGGACATACATCATTGCGCACATCGTGCAGAAGTCGGTGTTTTCATCAGCTAGCACAAAGCGTAGTAATATTTAGAGAAAAATGATTAGCTTTCTGAGGAAAACCAGAGGCTCATCGCGGTCAAATCAAAGCACTTGAATGTTTACGGCGGAGATTTATACATTCCAAAGAAAATCCCCTCTATCTTTTGAGAAGCTTCGAACGCGACATTTTGCTTTAAATTTGATCCATCATTGCGATTTTAACTACAGCGTCAGCTTAACTGGGTTCAATGCCGATTTGGGATGCCCAGATCAATTCCATTCACGGAGGATTTCCGATAGCACTGATCGATAGAACTGGCCGAGAGACAAGCGAAGCAATGGACCTCCGTGGTGTGTTGGTGAACGCGTAAACGGAAACAGCACGTTCGTTCTCCACCACAATCACCTGCGGTTCGGAGATTTTGAAAATATCTCAGCATCATTGTGGATTTATGACTTGCACTATTTCAGTCGTTATTTCGTTCAAGCATCTGCCTCGCTGCTGCAACACGCGCGGTTAAATGCACAAGTCCAATCGATAGGTATAGTTAGCGAGGACGTTAAATGTTCTGCTCAGACAGCCGATCTACATATCAAGGGGTTTCGTGTACTGACTGAAAGTGTCCGTTAAGCTCTATAGGTGTTGCATTGGTCTTGGGCCCCAAGAAATATCGAACATTTCTTGACACAACAAAGGACTTACAATGAACGCGTTAAATAATGGAAATCCATTTCGCACCACGTTTTTCTTTCGTCTCTTTAAAAAACGTGGAGTACAACTCGTCAAGTGACAGAATTGCTCTGACAGGCGGAAACAGGCGAAACAAAGGACCTGCATGGTGTGGTGGTGAACGCGTTACTCCCCGGAAAGGACAATAGCGCGTTCGTTCCCCACCATAGACACCTGCGGTCCAGAGTTTTGCAAATATCTCAGCAACGTTGTGGCTGTATTTCGCTTAGTACCCTGCCGTGAAATTATAGTAGGCAGAAAATAAAAAGGTATAACATTGTGACAGAATTGTTATTTAAACGACTACACTTCGTTTATGAAGTTTTTACGAAATTGGCTTCAAATTTCTAAATATCTCAGCGAAAGATATCCACTACGCATGAACGACCGCGCCAGAAGATTTTAGTCGGCAGTATTCTCAGTGAATATTGCTTGCTAAAAACGAGGCACGAATATTGCAGTGACTAGTGATGCAGTCGGTAAGGAAACGAAGGAGCAAGTTCGATTCCCGCCCCAGTGCTCTCCTACAATCCACGTGGGAACGCCTCAGCCTGGTTGTCTCCAAGAACGCAAAGAGATTTGACACCATCAGCATTCTACGACTTTCATAATGAAAATGAAGCAGCTAAAACAACAGGCGAAATGTTCAAAGACCATTGCAGAAGATGAGTGTTAGGAAAACGAATCGAATGCGAGAAGTGCTGGGATACGCACATAGGAATGGATGACTGGTCACGTGAAATCAAGAAAATTCTCACTGAAACCATACTTTGTGGACGCCACACATCGTAGACATTGTTCAATTCTATCGGAAGTTTAGTACCTGTTTACTGCTCGGATGTTTATCGATTACGGAATGGCACTTGAATTATAAGTTGAAAACGCGTGCTATTCTATTTATTTCTGTAAAACGAAGATTCCGAAGATCTCATACCTTTGCGCCGGTATTCTTTTCCTGCACAGATGGTTGGATAATTTTCGACTCTTTCGAGCTTTCTTCTCTTGAGAGCTGCGTATCCATGAACGTTTTGCTTATGAGAGTCAGGTCAACCGTATTTGGTTCATACACCGTTGAAATGAACTACATTCAGATCAGAATATCAATCTGAGACAAGCCACGACAACACTTGTGATAACGCTCTCCTCCAATCCATGTGGCAATGTCTTAGGCTAGCAATAGCCGATATTGCAAGGAGATTCTTCTTGAATGGTATTCTGCGACTCTGAGGAAGACGAAATTCTGAGGAAACAACCGAAGCAACGCGCGTGAACATTCAAAGACCACTGTGAGCGATAGAAACGAGGAGAGCGAAGCGAAGTAAGAAGTGCTGGCATCCGCGCAGTGGAGGTGATGGTGGGTCGTGAAGTTGTAAAATAAATAAAATCACGGGTGATATGGGGCCATTCGTCGTTTCTGTTTATTTCGAAACCGACCGCCATTTAACTTCGGTGCTATAATAATCAACATTTGTTTATATTGTTAAGCTTATACGAGCTGATACGAGATCTTTATTCGGCTAACGTTTCGACTTGTCTATGGTCTACAGTTGTTCCTCTTCTCGATGTGGCGTCTTCGTCCCGCATCGAATCTGATCTTCCTGGTTCTAGAAATTTACTTACAATGCGTCAGCAGTTCTGCTCGTCGATGCTTTTGGTTCCCGCACAGGGATCGTGTCTACCACATCCAAATCATCACCGTCCTGCCTTTATACCCCATGTGCACCTAGATAACTACTTTGCCAAGTTTTCATCTTTCAATCTTTTTATGCCATCAAATTTTCAAGACCATATATGTTCATTTTCATAGGCACGTTGGCATACTCTGAAGAATATACGATTTAATTTTAGTGCGAGCGCGCTATTCTGGTGTGTTTTGCCGCAAAGAGCTGTTTTCCCAGACCTCCTTTTATCGTTATATGTCTTGTCGAACACAGATCTTCTACAGAGATTAAATCGAAGATAGGTGTCTGCAATTCAATTAAAAGCGCAGACCATTTTCGGACGAGCTACTATTAAACCAGCAACATTCAGCGTTTTTAAATTGAAACCAAACACTTTCCTAGGTGCCCAGAGAGCATAGAAACATAACAGAGAAGATTTCGAACCAAAATTCACTACACTCCCACAGAACTGGTTCTCTTCTGTGCTCCTTCCATAGTCTGATCTGACTGTAGCGATTTAGATCTTTCAGGAAAGCTCTTCTACAGCTTGCATTTATTACTAATCATCTTGAACGTGTTTCAGTAAGGTAATGATTTAGTTTCCTTCTCTTCTCGAGCAACTCCTTAGCGGTGATGGGGATGCGGTCCGATTTTTTTGATAGAGGAAGTGAGGCGAATGCGGCACTACTTTTCAGTCCTTCGACAAGCAGCTCGTAGTCTTCGGTCGGCTCTTCTTTAATCTGCCGGTTACGCTTGGAAAGGACTTCGTTCAAAATGCTCTCGCAGTATACAGGTGGAATTTTTCCTTGTGTTCGATGAAAAGAATTCCTTTCTAGCTTGCAGCTGAATTAAATTTTCGCGCGAAGAGTGGGTGATAGGAACAAGTACAGTACGATAGCACTATCGTTCTGTCAAGAACCACCAAGGAGGCACCATCTTCCGTTTGCCAGAATGTGGTCAGTCTCCGCATAACTCATCACCCTAGTAGACTTCCATGTCCTGCGGCGGCTTTCTTTCTTCCGCAAAAGCGAGTTTCCATGGAAGAAACATGCAGCAAACAGAAGTTCTGTGAGACGGTTTTCATCCTCATTTCGTTCTCCTACTAAAAATTTTTCGATCCTGTATTCGGCTTCGTTGGCATTTCCTTTTCTGGTGCTGAAGGCTCAGATAAGAAAATTTTGATACGATTTATCACAGCGGATAACTTCGTACAACTGGTGATAGGGCGCGTCTAATCTCTACTCATCAGGTGTAACCGTCGATTAGTAACAATCGGTGGTAGTAATATTTTTATGTTACACGGGGTAAAAATGGAAGGTAGGGAATGCGAGGGAATAGGATTTAGTACGAGTTGACGTGATAGACAATTGACGAGTGGAGGACAAAGTCTACGCCGCAGAAATTTCATGATTGAGCCTTTACTTCGCAGATAATAAGAGTCACGCTATTTAGCTGGCGTATGCTAGTCTTCCGCGGACCTCCCTCATGTGAGGGATCTCGAGCCGTTTAGTCGCGAGGCTACGTGGCGCATCCCCAGGTGGCGATTAGGAGGTTAATTGCAGACCAAAGCCACCTTTGCTTCCCTGAGACACACGTGGATCCAAGGGATGAAATTCCAGTTTCTGCTGTGCTGATTTGGAACATTTTTTCTGTATTTGCTAGACGTATTCATTCATGCGTGCCTGGGCACGTTGTTGCTTATGCGGATTGTATTCCACGAGTTAATTCGGCCAAAAGTCTACAATCAAGTGATTGAGAAGTATATGCCAGGCGGTTAGGAGTGGCCTACAACAAATAGGCTCCATGTCCACTCTTGGAGCGACTGGTGAGCTACCTGTGAGTTTACCCAGCACCACGTTCAGAGCCCAGTAAGCTATGCGTGGGCATCAATAATGCTAAACACAGTAAAGAAAACGGACGTCATTTCCCTGACCCTTAAAGAGCCAACAATTTCGTAGCGTTGGGTAGGGCGAGTACGGAGAAGCTGGCAAAATTTCAGAGCCAATGGAAGCTGCCTGGATCACGAAGAATTATGGTGAAGATCTGTACCTACAATGCACGCACACTTCCATCCGAGTCCTCAATAGAAGACTTGCTCATGCAGGCAAGAAGGACAAGGTACGACGTCATCGGCCTGGCCGAGACGAGAAGACGCCAGTCTTTCAACGACGTCTGTGACACCGGAGGAGAACTGTTCCTCGGAAAATGCGACAGTAGAGGAGTCGGCGTTCTCGTCAACACGAGTTTGTCCATGAACATCGATTCATCCGAAGAACTCACAACCCGAATTAAACGCTTACGATTAGAAAGACGTGAATCAATTCCGGCTTTGACAGTCTTCGTCGTTTACGCACCGACATCAAACTATGACGAAGAAGAAGTCGAAGCGTTCTATATGGACTTGGAGAAGTTCTACAGAGAAGACCACACATTCTTCAAGGTCATGATTAAAGATTTTAGCGCCAAGATTGGACGAAGAAGAACGTTTGAAAAACGTCACATTGGGACCCACTGATTAGAATGGAACGAACAGGGTGAGCGGCTATTTGAGTTTATCATGGCGACTAGGACAATCCATGGTAACTCGCAATTTCAAAGCCCCACTCTCAGCGCTGTACGTGGGAGACACCCAATGGAGAGTACCATAACGAAATAGAACACATCATAGTAACATCATCATCATAGAAGGTTTTACCTAACCTATTTCGGCGTTGCCCGAAAATTCTACACGTGATCAAACCGTCGCCTCCTTCGTCCACGATTCTATTCCTCGCGAAAAGGAGAAAAATTCGCTAAATTCGAAAAGCGAAGTCTCAGAACCACCGTAAACGGGGATTTATTCAATTCATTAGTCGGTTGTTGGAAAGACGCCGTTGCCGGTAACATCGACGAAGAATACTATCGGCTCATTCAACATATTCACAGAAGCGCTATGAAAGCTCAGAGTTTGAAAGTCGCCAAGAGACGTGCGTATCCAGAAACACTCGAGCTGATACTCCAGCGTGGAATCGCGTGAGCTGCAGAGAACCGCGAACTAACGTCCAAACTTGCAAACAATGGAGAGAGGCGATATAAGAAGATCTTAACGAGGGAAGAGCAGCAGTAATGGTCGATGGTGCATAGGCTTGGAAAAAGACTCGCTAAACTCGCTGAAGCTCCGCCAATTACAGGACTAAGATGATTACACTCCAGAGCCCAGAAGAAACAGTCAGAGCGTCCAGAAAGGCAATAGAGAAAATCATTCACGAGTACTGCTCAGATTTCTTCGATAACCATGTCCACCTTCTATTATATTAAATAAAGGAGGATGGATATGTTGCACTATCGGTTCTCCCTTCAGAAATCCGACATGCTATTTCGTCGGTGAAAAATCGAACAGCACCAGGTCGAGACAGGATAAGACCGGAACACCTGAAGAGCCTTCCGGCAGCCCTCGTAAACACACTGGCTCGGCTCTTCACGCGTCACCTGTCTGAATGTAAGGTCCCTACTCAGTGGAAGACCAGCAAGACCGCGTTATTGTTCAAGAAGGGTGGCCTGCACGATATCCGCAACTATTGCCCAATATGCTTACTGTCTGTCGTTCACAAACTTTCCACTCGAGTTATCCTAAACGGAATTAACAGAACACTAGGCGAAGGGTAACCATGTGAGAAAGCAAGAGTTTGAAAAAATTTAGTAACAACGACCACATCCACACGGTAACACGGCTCATTGAAACATTTAGAGAGTGCAAAAGACCGTTCTGTTTCACTTTCATCGGTTCACAGAAGGCCTTTGATTCAGTTAAGATGGAAGCAGTCTTGGAAACCCTTGTAGTCAAGGAGTTTCTACTCAGTACATAAAGATTCTTCGTGAGCTGTACAAAAGTTTCACAACCAAGATATCACCATTCTACAAGGATATTAACATTGACGTCAAAAGAGGAGCTAGGCAAGGCGATATCATCTCGCCAAAATTATATACCGCCTCCCTCCAAAACGTCATGCGAACATTGGAATGGGATGACATGAGAGTTAAAATCGACGGTCGGCAGTTACACCATCTTCGCTTTGCTGATGACATCGTCCTTATAACACGAACATTATCCAAGGAGAACGTATACTTGACGAGCTTGATGAAGCCTTTGGAAAGATTGGACTTTGACTAAATCTCACAAAAACGATGTTCATGAAGAACGGGTTGTTTTCACATGCTGCTTTCGCGCTCAACGGAACGAGTATCTCTGAAGGCTTCAATTATATCTATCGTGGTCGGGAAATCAATGTGATGAACGACCTAGCTCCAAAGCTGAGCAGAGAAAAACGAGCGGCATAGGGAGCTTTCAAGAGGGTCGAGGATGTAGTGAAGGAAACAAAAA